ACCCCATGAATCATTTCAAAACCATTGCAAAACCATTCACATCGACAATCAACACAAACCACAAACTTTCATCACCACCACCAACTACCCCAACAATTCGACAAAGCAGATCGAAAGAAAACAGCCAGAGAACCACCTCCCTTAAAAATCATCTCAAGACCATTGTAAGTTTGTAACAACCCTTCAAGCTGACAATCAACAAAAATGCACGGTGGTGTTATACACAATGAAGTCGCCGCTGTGCGCTATGGGCATAGATCGCCTCGTCGTTGCCCTGTATATAGATGCACGACCTCTGGGCGCAATGTTGGAGCGAAGCAGTCGCAGCGTACCTTTATGTCGGTAATCAACACAAACGGGTAATGGTGTTACGACAGTGAAGCCACCGTTGTGCACTGTGGGCACAGATCTACTCAACGTTGCCCGCATATAGATCGACGATGGCTGAACGACCTTTGCCCGTGATGCTATTTGTAGCAAAGTAGCCATAGCACAACATTTCCAATGATGTCGTTGAATAAGAGAGAGATGAATTTAGGTTTTGGGAAGAAATTGGGGATGGGGTGGGGATTGGATTATTTTAATTTTATAATAATATTATTATTATTATTTAAAATTTAATTATTATCTGATTTTTGAAGAAAAATTTATAACTCTTAGGGTATGTTTGATAAACCAAAATTTTCCTTAGAAAATGAAAAATCAATTCCAACTTCCACTTTTACATTGTTTGATAGCATTTTTTTTATTATCTAGAATTCATTTTCCACTTTTTTTGCCACCTCAACTGAATTCCACATTTTCCTTGAATTGGAATTCCAATTCCAATCACTGTAGTAGTTTTTTTCCAACAAATTCTAAGAATTAATGTAAAAAAATATTTAACTTTAATTGATAATTTTCATGTAAAACAAAATCAAACGAACATCAAAAGATAAATGATTTTTTTATTTTTTGTTGGCAATGTAAACAAATTTCAACCCCAATATCAATAAATTTTATCCCTTTAATTGAGAATTTTCATATAAAACAAAGACAAACGAACACCAAAAAACACTTTCATTTCAACATTTTTCACGTGAAAAATTATACCAATTAAACACAATAATTTACAATTTCTAGGAAAACAATTTCTAGGTAATTCAATTCTCTGAAATTTATTTTCTTTCTATCCAAATTCCATCTTCTCAATCAAACGGACCCTTAATTATAAATTGAGATCTTGAAAAATACTTAGGCAGTGTTTGATAGCCATTGGAATTCCATGGAAAATGGAATTTCAATTCCATCTTCCACTTTTCCATTGTTTGATAGCATTTATTTTTCTTGGAATTCATTTTCTCACTTTGTTTTCACCTCAGCCAAATTCTAGCTTTTTGATGAATTTGAATTCTCACCAAAATAGTGAGAATCCATTTTTCAGGTTACTGTAGCTATTTTTTATTTTATTTTATTTTATTGACAATTTTCATCTAAAACAAAGTTAAATGAAATCCAAAAGATAGATGATTTTCTTTTTTTTTGGTAATGGAAACAAATTTTATCCCCAATATCAGTAAAATTTATTTTTTTAATTGACAATTTTCATGTCAAACAAAGCCATAAACATCAAAAAATATTTTTGTTTCAATATTTTTCACATGGAAAATTATATCAATCAAATACAATAATTTGACAATTCCCAGGAAAATAATTTCTAGACAATTCAATTCCCTGAAATTCATTATCTTTCCACACCAATTTCGTCTTTGCAATCAAACGGATCCTTAGTTCATATAATTACCATTTTCTATAAGGGAAAATTGCCTAGAAACCAACATTTAAAGATTAATTTTCAAAAAACAAGGGATTAAGATTCATTTTCACCAATCAAGTGCTAATTAAATTTTACAAATTAAAACTTATAAAAATATAGTCATAATTCATTTTCATCCCACTTAATCCATACGCAACTACCCACACCAAAACCCTAATATTTTCATCAATTCCCATTTTCTCTCCTCTCTCTAGCCAACGCTGGGAAGCATCGCTGTTGCCACACGATCGGTACCACCTCGCCCTTCACCATTGTAGCCAAAATCACGACTATCACCACCCGAACACAACCAATTTCTCTTGTTCCATACGCCATTTTCACTAAGAGAAATAGGCAAGTAAAAGGGAATTTCTACTTCTATACACACAGAGCAACTTTCTTCCAATCTACGCAAAGTACCAATTTATCTTGTTCCATACGCCATTTTCACAGAGAGAAAAGGTGAAGTAAAAGGAAATTTAATTATTTTTTGTTAATTAATTAAATAAAAATGTCGATCAAGAGTGAAAGGACGTCGCCGTTGAGAATTGGGAAGATCGGGGCGTACACTGTGTTCGTGACACCTCCGCCCACACCCAATTTGAGTTTGAAATCGGACTCTCCCAAAACACCCGTTGACGTTCCGATTCAAGTCCAGAGGCCGATTGAAAAAAGTTGTACGGTCTCCTTTTCCGATTATGGCTCCGCCAATGTAGTACAACCTCCTCCTCTGATTATGGTTATCGTGGTTCTAATCTGTGGGTAGAGTAAGAAGGCTGATGGTTGTTGGTTTTGATCTATGTTTCTGATGGTGGATCTATTTTCCGTACAGCCATCGAAGGTAGTAGGGGTTTCATAGTAGACAAAGTATTGGTGGTTTTGATTTGTGTGTAGAGTAAGAAAGTTGTAGCCGGTGATGGTTGGTGGTGTTGGATCCGTTGGTGGTCAAGATTTGTGTTTCTGATGGTTGGTGGTGGTTCTGATCTGCGTGCATCCAGCGATGGTTGATGGTGGTGATTCTGCAGTCGACGAACCGTTGGCGGTTCTGATTTGTATATAGAGTAAGAAAGCTACATCCGACAATGGCTGGTGGTGGTGGTTTTGTTGGTAGTGAGAATGCTCTGGTGTGCGTGGCATGCACAAATCTGTGTGCTGGTGTGTAGACTGTGCGTGGTGTAAATCGACAGTTATGTTTATCTATCTCCATTGTGATTGCCTGTGACCAAATTTGTGTTAACTACGACCGTATGTTACTTGGTTACATATAGTCACAAATTAGACTAACATGGTCACAAACAGTCATACCGAATACAAATTTGATCATGAACACATTAGGTCACAGTTTATACGTTACGAGTCATAATTCGCCGTTAAGGTCACAGTTCAATGGTCATAGGTTTGAGTTTACAAGTTATAGTCATTTCATATAAGTCACAAATCAGTATAAACGAGTCACATATCAATATTAACAAGTCACATGTCCTTTTGTAGAAGTCACAGATCAAATTTATAAATCACATATTGTGTTACGAGTCACAAATAACAAATCACGGGTTAAAAATTATGTTTTATATGTCACAATGTACACAAATCACATATTACCCAGAAAAAGAAAAAAATTGTGAATTTAATATATTTAGTTATAAAAATATTTTTTTGATTAATTATTTCATAACTAAAATTTTAATAGTATTTGAATTTTGAAATTTCAAACTTTATTTTCTTAATTTTGAAATTGATCATTTACATATTCATCTCACCTTGATTAGGTTACTGATTCAATAAAACTGGTCACAGATCACAACAGGTCACAGATCTAATAGAACTAGTCACAGGTTATCGCCAAAAATGGAAAAAAAAAAAAAAAAAAAGATAGTCGCCGAAAGAGTGAACAGTCACCGGAACGATCGTTGGGAGGTCATCAGAATATTCGCCGGAGAGGTCACCGTCGCCGGAGCGATCGCCGCAGCCGTCGTCGGAGGTGGGTGGGGTAAAGAGAGAGAGAATGATTTGATGTCGTGGGTGGGTGGTTGGAGGTGAAGTGGATGGGGTAAATAGATTAATTATACCATATTATAATTAAATATTTAATAAATTTAATTATCACCTGATTTTTGAAAGATTTTTAGAGTTAATTTTAAAATGTGAATTTTAGATGGAGGATCTATGTGGTGTTCCCTTACTATAATGTGGTTCGACTATTGGGCTCAACATTTAAACCCGTTGTTGGGCTTACGTTTAACTGTAAAATCATGTGGATTTTGTTGGCTAATGGACCAGATTGAGTTTTGCTGTGTCTTGGGCTGTATTTGAGATCACGGTGAAAAAGATAGAATGCATAATTGGCCATTAACGTTTAACCAAAACATGTAATTCATTAATTTGGGAATTATACCTTCGAAATGAGAATTTGTAATCACTTTGTAACCACGTCAATAGATTGAAACCAATCTTCTAAAATTAGAAAGAATGCTACAAGTAGGGAAAAGGTACCTGGGTTAAATAGATATATCTGGTCCTTGAAGTTACAGAAAATATTCAAGTTCATGTTAACATTTATTTTGTTTCAACCCAGTCATCAATTTCTTGACAATTTCAATTTGGTCACTCTGTTGTAGAGTGGCCGAGTTGGTGGAGTAAGTGAGCATAGAGGTCTTTGGTCACGTGTTTGATTTCCTCTACCAACACTTTTTCGGTCGAATCTAAGCCCAGTACGATTTACCTGGTTGGCTTGATTTACAAGTTATTGCGTTAGCCCAAGGATTTACTCAATAAAAACCCAAAGGGTAGCGGCTGTGGGTTCTCCCGTCATTAAAAAAAATTGTCAAACCCGATATGTACACTATTTAACACCACTATGTAACAAATAGAAATTAATCCCATTTCTACTTAAGCATTTTATACTGAAAATAGAATGATGAAACCTCAAAGCTCATTGTGGTTGACATTCTTGTTTCGAATAGCGTAGAAGGTTCTTGAAAATTTGAGATCCAAATTAACAATTAATTAAAAGTAAAATGAGTTCAACGATTCATCGATTTTTTACATGGCTTTGGAATTAATTGTTTGGTCAGTAAGCAATGAATGGTGTTACTAAACAGATTGGAACCATTAGTACTGATTCAAAACAAAATTAGATCAACTTGAAACTTTGATGTAACTTGAGGGATCGAATTTATATTTAACTTATTATTTTTTTTTTGGGAATTTATAGTATTTGTAAAGATTCCAATTTTTCCTCCGAGTGCCCCCCAAAAGAATTGAGGAAGATGTTGAGAGTAGCAAGCCGGAGGCTTTCGGTTTCTCTCTGGAGGTCCACCTGGACACCGACCTCCGCCACCGCCGCCTTTAAATACCCAGTCGGCGGAGCCACCGACCACCAGGAGGATTCTAGATCTACCATCTTCTTCCTTCGTTTTTCCTCTAACACTCATCCCCAATTTCATTTTCCTGGCAGAGGTCTGTCCTTGTACCCGATTTCATTTCTGTTTTTTATTTAGGATTTTACGATGCATTTCTCATACTTTCTCATTATTTTCCACGTTGCTATTCTTGAATTATGAAGCTTTAGTTGTTTATTTATTTATTTTATTAATTGTTGAATATTATGCCGAGTATATGTTGCCCAGATAGTTTACAACAAAAAGAGACGAGCTTTGTGTTTAGTTTGAATATTTTGATGAAGATTAAAGATTGTGTAGTAGAAGTAAATGAAAATTTTCGTCTATATATCATCTAAATCGCTCAGTATAGCAGCAGGTGCTGCTTGCAACATGTTACACACTTGCTTGTAATCCCTAGGACCTCTGTTTTTCGAACTCTGGTGTTTTAGGGTTTGTAATGAAAAAAATGTTAAGGCTTAGCCCTTAGCCCTTAGGGTCCGTTATGGGGTCATAGCTTCTTTAGCTTGGAGTTTGGACGTGCTGTTCATGAAATTATTATGCCAATATTAGGATGCTCTGAAGGAGTTCTACACAAATATGGATACCAAAATAAATTTATGTTAATGCATTTACAGGAAAGAATATATTATAATTGGAAATTGGTAAGAGGCCAGACACTTAATGTTACGTGGGTAAATGCAGCCACAATCTCAATGATTGAAGTCAATTGCCACTCTGTTCTTCATTTTAATTTTCTTGGGATAGAGGTTCTCGTATTTATGGTGCAAATAAGAGCCTTTTCCCTATGCTCAAACCACCAAGACTGAGCACTGTCCTTTTTAAGGCGTTCAATAGTCCCGTTAGATCCATTTCTTTGTAATGTGTTGACAGCGGGAGGTTAGGAGAGGAGACAATTTGTGAAGGGGGTGGTCTGTTTCCTTTATATTTATTTATTTATTGTTTAAATGTATCAGATGCACTTGATTATTAAGCATTTTTAGTGAATGAAACGCCAAAAGGACCTATTTGGTACAAAATTAACGTTTTGAAAAATAATTGCTAAGAATATTAGTTTTAAATTTGCGAATCACCATTGTACATGAATTCGCCGTTGTGAATTTAAGTTTAATTTTGTGAGCTGGACATGACGAGGAATAAGGTTTCAACAGCTGTCTCTGCAAAGGAAAAGATTTTCTATGTTTGCTTAGTGGGTGATGTGAGACAATGTGACTATCTGCCATCACTTTACTATTGACTATGAACTCAAGGTTTAGTAAGTCTCTAGTTTTGATCAATTTTTTACTGAATTTGTGTATCTTACAATGTTATGGTGACTTATTAATCGCTATTCAATGTGTTTAACTTGAAAAATCAGGTTTTCTTGAAAGGTTCCAGACATCTGTATCTAATGTATAACTCTGTAGTTGTAAGGATTTGCCTGTTGGGTTAAAAGCAATCTATTGCAAGACACGTGCTTGATTTGTTAATCAAACTGGTAATGGGTTACAGTCCTTGATGCGTGGTTGATAACTACTAACTTATTTGTTGAAGGTGGAAAAATAAATGCATTTGCATTGATTTATGTTCCTTAACTGCTTCTTCTATGTTTGTGGTTGATAAGTCCCGTTATGTTGCACAGTGCTCTTTATCCATGAATCATCTGTGTTGCAGGTTTTGCTTCTAACTCAGTTGCCCCAAAGAATGAAAGCAGTGGCATTACAGAGATTCCGGCAACTGAGACTGCTATAAAAAATCCAACTTCAAAGATAGTTTATGATGAGTACAACCATGAGCGCTACCCTCCTGGTGACCCCAGTAAGCGGGCTTTCGCCTATTTTGTCTTGACTGGTGGCAGATTTGTATATGCTTCCCTGCTTCGCCTTCTCGTTCTGAAGTTCATTCTCAGCATGTCAGCTAGCAAGGATGTTCTCGCTCTGGCTTCCCTTGAGGTTGATCTGTCCAGCATTGAACCTGGCAGCACTGTGACTGTCAAGTGGCGTGGAAAACCGGTGTTCATCAGGCGCCGAACTGAGGAGGACATTAAGCTGGCTAACACCGTTGATTTGGGATCTCTCCGTGACCCACAGGAAGACTCAGAGAGGGTTAAGAATCCTGAATGGCTTATCGTCGTCGGGGTCTGCACTCACCTTGGTTGCATCCCTTTACCAAACGCTGGTGACTTCGGAGGGTGGTTTTGCCCCTGCCATGGCTCACATTATGATATCTCTGGCAGAATTCGGAAGGGGCCTGCTCCATACAATCTGGAAGTACCTACATATACTTTCTTGGACGAAAACAAGCTAATGGTTGGATGAGAGATACCAAGTGTAGTTATCTGTTGTATAAGAACTCTGATACTCGTTTCAGATGATGGTTGTTTTTCTTCTCATTTCCTTTAAGCATATTTACTGTCGGTATTACGTAACTGGCAAGTTGCCACTGCTGTGGACTTGGTGAAATAAAATGTTTGTTCCACTATTGACACTGAGCATGCATGATTGGGAAATTTTAGTTGTAAATAATTTGATTGGGTATATTAGATTTCACAATGTTTATCAAGTCATTTTGCTCAAATCCTACACCTTGTGGTCAGACCGAGTTATTGTTCATACATATGTTGAAGACATGATTTGAACACGCAATAATGGCGGTGGAAGCAAAACATGTCTGCCTGCACGAAATCGCCGATATGAAATGGTTTAATTTGAGCTAAATCAGATCGTTGTAAAAGGGTTTGGTTTAAATTTCCATCATTTAAAAACTATTTAAAATTGAGTTTATTTGGTTTAGATTTCCATCATTTACGAACTATTTAAAATTGAGTTTGTTAAAGGTTAAAGGCTACAATTCTCTCTCTCTTTTTATTTTTTTTCGGACGTTTGTGCCTACTTAATTTTAAGACTTACTGTCAATTAAAGTTATGCTAAGCAAATGACTAATTATAAATACTAGTGTCAAACCATTATACACTTATAGTCCTAATTATTATTACTATTGTAGTATTTACGGTCCTAATTCTTCTTTATAAATATGGGGTTTTGATTTTTTATGAAATACACACAAGTTTATTGACTTTTTTACTTCTCTCTCTCTCTCTCTCTCTATTTTATAAGAATTAATCTATTTGTACCAAATGTCTTACCTAATTTTTGATCGAATTGACAAGTGGCGTCCACCTGTCCACTCCAATAAAGGCGCGACACTTGTCAATTCGGTCATCCATTTGGTAAATGATTTGGTACATATAGCATCTCCCGTTTTATAATACGTTATCAGCATTTTGCCCTTGTTTGAGTCACATTATTTTCCTTAAAATGCATTTTTGAATAGCGTATTAATGAGAACTGTGGTTAAAAAAATAAAGAAAAAAATTTGAATTTGCATGTAATATTATTTTATTGAAATATGTGTGATTGAAATGATATCAAATCACTATTTAAGATTGTATTTTTTGAAAAAATGTGACTCAAACATGACCAAAGTTTTAACCGATTAAGTTAGCAAATTGAGTTCATCTATCTGCTCACAAATCTCTAACTAGTTGGGGTGGGTAAAATAATTTTCCCTTTAATCGAAGAAAGTTAAGAAGTTCTAGTCAATTGAGTTTACAAATGAACTTTTCTTTTTAACTCAAAGAAAGGTTAACTTATTCGATCTGGTTATATTGTTTAAACTATAACAATTTATGATTAAAAAACATTTGCTTAAATGTAAATTTTTCATTCAATATTCCAGTACAATATTCTAGGAAAAAAATATTGTATTATTATATTTTAAAAAGAAACAATCTAAATCAATAATCCAAAAGAATATTGTAGCATTGTGTGAAAATGCATGTTTTATTTGGATTATTTTGTTGTTTCTAAAAAAGCATAGATTCACATAATAAAAATATTTAAAAATAATATTGCATTATTATTCTTGAAAAAAAATGTAATATATGTATATATTATATTCGCCAAGAACATTGAATTTCATATCAATGTTCTTGGCGAAATATGAATCTTTTTAACAACATTCTATAGAAATATTGTGTTAACACTCTTGAAAAAGTGTAAACCATATACATTTTAAGATTCTAAAGAATATCTTGTTGTTGCTTCCAAGATGGAAGGAGGTATCAATATATTGAATTGTGACTGTATATATTATGGAATAATTGTATTCTTAATTCGAAACCAACAAAAAAAAACTAGACATTGTTCCCAATATCTTAAATTCTTAATCTGCATATAACGGGTGGGGAAGAAAATGAAGAAAATAGTATGCGCGTGAAATTCAATAGCTAGCTTTTCCTATTGTTCTTGTTTGTCTCCTTGGTCAATGTTGGTTTAAGTTTCCGAGATTTCATGTTTCAACACAACGTAGTTAAGTAAAACATTAAAGATCCAATATCTGGAACACGTGCTACTTAGATCAAACATCTAATAAACCAACTAATATATAGGAGACATAAGCATAATCGAGATGTGGTTGATGAGTCCCAAAATTGAATAAAAACTAATCTAAATTATATTAAACCATTCTAAATCTAAAAGGCGGAATAAATAAAAAGAATAGAAATGTTGGGTTGCCTCCTAACAAGCACTTATTTAAAATCCTTAGCTCGGCTCCTGTTACTTTTAGGCTCTCTATGGTGCTTAAAATGGGAGTATTTAGTCCTGCATTTTATATACTAGTTGCACTTCTTCGGTTTGTCCTTGACTCTCCAAACAATCATGTTTCCATTGTTATTCTTACCAATAATTCCTCCTGCGTTTAGCCTATCTTTGTAGTTTTTCCAGTGATCCAATAGTTGGCAATCCTGCAAGTATGAGTGTTGGTTGATTGGATTCTCCATAGTGAAGCTCTGCTACTTATCCTCCACCCTGAGCACTATCTCATTAGTATTAAATCTAGCAACGCTCAACTTATAGACAAGAATGGCCTTCCCATGATTATTGGCATTTGATATGCCTCTTCTATGTCTAGAATGATGAAGTCGGCTGAAAAAGTAAACTCCCTCGCCTTGTAAGCATGTCTTCAACTACTCCGTATGTGTGTTTCAGTGATCGATTTGCCAGCTAAAGGATAAGAGATGCCGCCTTAAGGTCTCCTAATCCAATTTCCTGTAAAGAGGCAAGAAAATTAAATTAATACTTGCTCCTGAATCAATCAAACAATTTATATTATGTAAATTTTCTATGAATCAAGGTAAAGTAAAACTACCTGGATCAATGGATCTTTTAGTTTGGGAGAGATCCTGTGCTGGCTCACTACATTCTTCAGATAATGCTATCGTTTCATGCTCGGGCAACTTCTTCTTTTTGATCAACATTTCTTCAAAAACTTGGAGTAGTTTGAGATTTGAAGGATCACGTTAATGAATGGAAATGTTGACATGCAACTTTTTAAGGACTTTTAGAAATTTAGTGATCTGTCTTTCCAATTTGGTGCTTTGCAGCCTTTAGAATAAGATATTAGAAATGTGAGTGAAGCGCCAGGAACTATTGCCTTAAGCTGTGAACTATCTGAGACTAATCGTCGACCCTTCTTTGTTGCTTCTTCGGACTGTTTTACATGTTCATTTCCTTTAGTAGTTATTTGAGTGTTCTTTGTCTCATTCTTCTTCGTAGTATTTTCTGGCAGCTGAACACCTCTTCTAGCAATGATGCCTAAACCTGCTGCACTGTTGGCTACCTTTGCAGTCTCTAAGGGAATGAAATGGGTGGCACATAAGCTTTGCCCACAGTGGTGGGAGTGAATGATAGTGGCTCTTTAATGATAGAATTCACCACCTCGATTGCTAGTACCTACTTTTGTGGATTCTTCTCTGTGTTGCTAGGCAAGGCACCCTATGGTCTGTTAGGTAATGCTGCTTGATAAGAGTGTAAAATATAATATTTTCACATCTTAATTATTGCATTGGTGTGATTATTTGATTATACTTTGATTCATGTTGCATTTTGGTAGAAAATGTAAAATTTAGAAGAAAAGAGAGAAAAATCAAAATAGAAGAAAGTGAAAGTTTAGGGATCTAGTAGAAAATAATCTAAAGATGAGACAGGTGATGGAATGATGATTCGAGAAAGCCAGGAGTCCATTGGGTGCAACTAGAAGTCAAAAGAAGTTAAATATAACCATAATATTTTCATAAATCAAATTCCAACCGAATAAAGATTTTCTATCGGAGATTGAGATCAACTTTTGACCAAATAAACGTTCAAATTTGGAAAGAGCTATTCTACCAAAATTTTAGCCATTTGTGTTAGCTTTTCGATGCACTTTGAATTACCTTAATCAAATATTGGAAGAGAAAGTTATGATCAAAATACTGAAAGTAGTCGCACAAAATATTTAGGCCAAAAATTTAGTTTCCTTATTCAGTTCAACCTCTTTTGGAAACAATTTGGCACACGGTTTTAAGCTCCAGACTGGACAGAACACGCCTCTCTTCACTTCCATAAAAATTTTCTCTCATTTTGGGCAAAAGAGTTCATGAATTATTTAAAGGATTTATCGAACTAGGGTTTCGTGAATTATGTGAAAATAATTTGTCAATTGGAATGAGATTTAATTATCAATATGCGAGATTAGTGATGCGTCCGAATTCCTTCAATTGGATTGGATCATCATCATCAATAATTCGTGGCTTTTTACTCAATTAGAGGTTTTCATCCCAACTCTCTAATCGAAAGATTTAACAATGAAGCTCAATCAAATTTCAATTGTAATCCTAGGATCTAGACCTTTGTAAGCAATTCCCACACATGTTTATTGGAACTAAGATTAAGAATCGACCATATAAACAATGCATAAGGCAGTAATAATCCACCAATAAAGTTGATTGAAATTGAAATTCAACAATAAGTTCAATTCCACAACAGATAAAACATGATTGAATATATGAAGAATCTAGTAAAAGTTAAATCAATTCCAAAGTAAATTCATAAAAGTAAGTCTAGATCTATAAGTGTTTGACAATAAAAATACCAATTTGCATGAATAAATGATGTGAAGTCGTCAAATCTAATGAGTTCTTTCATAGCTTCACCTAGGAATTTAGTTTTCCATCAAATTATTTAGCCCAAGATAAGAGAAAATTATTATGGAGATCAAGAAAGGAGTGTTCTGTGCAGTCTTGGGCTTAAAACTGTGTGCCAAGTTGTTTCCAAAAGAGGTAGAACTGAATAAGAAAACTAAATTTTCAGCTAGAATATTTTGTGTGACTACTTTCAGTATTTTGACCATAACTTTCTCTCTCGATATCCGATTAAGACAATTCAAAGTCCATTGGTAAGCAAAGGCAAAGGGCTACAGTTTTGATAAGTAGCTCTTTCCAAAGTCGAATGTTTACTAGGTCAAAAGTTGATCTCAATCTCTAACTGAAAATCTGGAAAATCTTTATGCGGTTGTAATTTGATTTGTGAAAATATTATGGTCATATTTAACTTCTTTTGACTTCTAATTACACCCAATGGACTCCTAGCTTTCTCAAATCATCATTTCATCGCCTGTCTCATCTTTAGATTATTTGTAACTTGGTCACTAAAATCATTTTTCATTCTTTTTTTTTTTTTTTTTCTAAAATTCACATTTTCTACCAAAATGCAACTTGAATCAAAGCATAAATATAATGAGTGAATTTTGGTATCAAATAATCACACCAATGCAATAATTAAGAGGGAAAATATTATATTTTACACTCTTATCACACCTCTAACTTAGTTATTGTTAGTCCCTAGCAATTTAATGCAGAATGTGCAAACAAATGATTAGATTGTGATACAAGTGAAATTATTAAGTTCCAACTTAACCATAGTTCATTTTCTTTTCAAACTCATCACCACAAGAACTTAACAATGCAATGATCTTTAAAATATCAAAAACACTTAGCAAATGTGTGAGTATGAGTCAAGTCATAGCCATCTTACCGCCAACCCTAACACATGCAATATCAAGTATGTTTTAAGAAAAATGTTAAACCCTATAACTCAGGGGTATCAAAATGTATAATGCGGTTTTCTCTCTATGGAGCTGAGAAAGGGTATACACTCATAACTTGGAGACTTAAATATTTATGAATAAACAACAAACAAATATTGATCACATGATAGACATACTATCAACTGAGAATTCATCAACTTCTTACCACAATCCTACTTAGGATCAAAACATCCAATGCAAAAGGTTGTAATGAGGATCAAGTTGGGCTATGTGTATAGAATGGCAAAAGGAATTCATGGACTTCCAAGTATGTAGTAAGGCATTTCATCAAGTAATTCAATAGATCAAATCCTTTATATCAATGTATTCCTCAACATTTCAATTTCCAACATCAATCCATATTCCTTTTTTTTTAATAAGATTTATCACTTCACCCGAGCACTTATAAACTCTTATCACTTTTTTTGTTGTTGTTTTTCTTCTTAAATGACATTCAATACCTACTATACACTTGGAAGCATAAATGTTTAAAAATGAATGTCTATAAACTTTATTCCAATGTAAAGAGGTATGGATAATATAGGCGCATGAAAGGAAACGATTATATATGTATATTAGTTCAAAGTGGATACTAGGGAATTATAATTATGAAAAAAAAAAAACTAGTCTGAAGACTCAAATTCAATCCTAAATTGACTGTTATAATTTTCCAAGTATAATCCACTGTCTTACCACATAACGTGTAATGTTATTCTCAGAAGAAGTTTCCAATTCATAAAATCAATGAATGCTTATTACCATTTTTAGTATATATGGCTCTCAATCCTCACCAATTCTCTCAGAAAAAAATTTCAGCAAGAGACTCCTCTAACTACATGTGTTGAACCACTATCTTATAACAAGGCTTGTGTGCACAAAATGACTCAGCAAGTGTCTCAACATCTAAACTTTCATAAACAACATTAACTCCCAGTGGCATGTCTTGTCATTCAAAAGCATGAAGATGTAGCAAATTAGGGACTTAAAAAAAAAAGACCAATCAACAAAATCAAAGCCAAAATTCCATGAAGTAATACAATTCACAACAAAATTCACGTGAAACTCTTCATCAACTAAATATTGCATTGTCCTCAATGCAAAAACATTTCTGCTAAATAAAGGTAAGGAAAGATGTCACCTGAATACCGAAGTGAATCAGTATAAGCTGAAGTAAGAGAAGCCTGAAATTTCTCAATGGAAAAGGTGATACAGAAAATGAAAATAAACTAGAATGCAGTGAATAATGCATGTGATGCAAATAAATCTAACAAATGAAAAAACAAGTTAAAAGAAGAAAAGAACTCCCCTTGGGTTGTCTCCTAAGCAGCGCTTTTGTTTATTGTCGTTGGCTCGACCCAATGTTTGCTTATTTAGCCCGTATCTAGCCAGGGCGTTGTCAATCTTCCTTCCATTGCACCAAACTCATTGGAAGTAGTCACGGGTGGTGTCCCATATCCTGAAAATAATCAAAAGTAGCACAAATATCGGCATATTTCCCATTATCATATCCTGTTGGAATTTCAAAATTCAAAAGGAAAGAGCTCAAAGGGTCAGGGTCTATAATTGCAGCTGCTTCCTCCTGAACGAGCTCATCAATCATGAATGTTTGATAACACTTGTCATCCTCCTCAGGTTGCTTCATGATGTGAAAGATGTTGACGTCCAGGGTCGTGTTCCCAAATGATAGTTTCATTAGACCGTTCCTGTAATTAATAAGAACATTAGCTGTAGCAAGAAAAGATCTACCAAGAATAATGGGAATATTGGAGTTAACATTCACATCAACTTTCAAGTCCAAAATCAAGAAGTCAACAGGGTAGTAAAATTTGTCAACTTGTACCAACACATCCTTAGCTACTCTTCTAGGCCTAATAGTGGTTCGATCAGTCAATTGTAAACTTACTGATGTGGGTTTCATCACTCCTAGCCCTAACGACAAGTAAATATCATACGACATGATGTTGACACTAGCCCCTAGATCAAGAAGAGTTTGTGAAATCACATGATTCCTAATGATGTAAGAGACAGTAGGACAACCAAGGTCCTTATACTTTGGTGGGATCTTTTACTCGATCACAACACTCACATGTTTAGCCAAGAAAGTAGTTTGCTTGACGTGATGTTTCCTTTTTAAGTACATAAGTCCTTAAGGACTTTAGCATATGTAGGAACCTGTGAAATCATGTGCAGGAGAGGTAGATTGATTTTTACCTATTAAGGTTGTTCTAGGATTTCACTATGTTGTCCGATTGGTTTCAAGGTAGACTTGAGAGCTTGAGGGAATGGTACTCTAGATGGATTCATCTACTACTTCTTCACTGGGGCTACTCTCATTAGCCTCACTTGATTCTTTTTCATTCTCCCTAGATTGAATGGCTGGTTCAATGACTTTCCCAGATCTAGTGATTATGACATTTACTTCCTTAAAGTTAATCTCTTCCGATCCTAAAATTTGTGTCATGTGTTGCCCCTTTGGATTTGGTTGAGCTTGAGCTGAAAATTTTTCATGTTCCCCTACAGTTAAAGCATTGATTAGTTTGGATACATGATTCTTTATCTCTTTGTTTTTCTCAACTAATTAGTCAATCATAGTCTCAAAATTTTTTATTTGTTTTACCCTGTGCCTTAATAAATACATGTAAAATATCTTCTAAGGAATTCCTGGAGGATGTGGTTTGATGTGGGAGTGCATTGTCACTATATTGGATTGGGCATGTTGTTGGTTTTTAGACTTTCAGCTAAAGTTGGGGTGATTCCGCTACCTTGGGTTGTAAGTCTCGGGGTAAGGGGTATAGGGCTTTTGATATACGCCTGAGCATTACAATGTTCCTCATAAAGTCCCCTCATTTTAGCATAAGTAGCACACTCCTGTGCTAGGTGACCACTCTTTCCACACACAAAACAAGGCTCTAAAGACTCAACACTGGAAACAGATCGAGTGCACGTAGGTTTTCAAGTTCTCTAATGAGGGCTTCTACCTTTGCTCTAAGGTTATCTTTCTCTCTAAGATGATAAATACCTGTGCTATTCGAGTTTTCAGTGGGTCGTGACCTAATGGTATTCTGAATGGCACTAGGTCCAATCCAGGTATGGGCTTTCTCAGCTAAGTCATCTAGGTAGTCTATAGCCTCATCCGGATATTTTTGTAAAAATTCAGCATTACATATCATTTCAATAAATTGACGCTCCCTAGGTAAAAATCCCTCATAAAAATAAATCACAATACCCCAACTTTCATAACCATGGTGGGGACAGAGGGCTTGCAATTCTTTGTACCTTTCCCACGCTGGATATAAAGTTTCACTCTCCTTTTGAGTAAAAGAAGAGATTTGCTTTTTCAATGCAGTTGTTTTGTAGTTGGGAAAGTACTTGCCAAAAAATGCTTGAGTTATTTCAGCCTAAGTCCCAATCGAACGTGGTCTCAATGAATATAGTCAGCTTTTTGCTCTTTCTTTAAGATAGAACGGGAAAAATTTAAACCTAGTTGCATCCATTGTACCACGTTGATTGTGAAAAGTTGCAACCACTTCTTCAAATTCTCTAATATGCACGTATGAGTTTTCATTTTCAAAACTGTGAAAGGTGGAAAGAAGTTGGATTATTCTCAGTTTAAGGTCCATAGGTGGTATATTAGGTGGAAATATAATGTATGATAGTATAAATGTGCGTGCGGGGTGAAGATAATCATGCAAGGTCCTAGTGGGTGCCTCTTCATGTTCACTATCAGTCATTGTGTTGTGTGATATGATGTGCGTGCCAATAGATTCAGTATTAAAGAGAGGGTTAGGAAGAGATTCAAACACTGATTGCGGCCTTGCAATGAATCGTCCCTACTCATCTCGATCTTTGTTCATAAAACACCAAAAAATATGAAATTTCGTGAGAAACAACAGAATAAAATTAAACTAACTAAAAAAATGTAAAAGAGGAACGAAGTTGCTCTCATTCCAATTGAAAATTATTTTCACATAATTCACGAAATCCTAGTTCGATAAATCCTTTAAATAATTTGTCCATCTCCCTGTGGAATCGACACCCTAAAGTTGTTCTACAACTACCGCGTTATTCTTTGGGCATAATCAAATTTTGGTGTTATTGCCGGGGAGATGATACAAATAATTGAAAGATTCTCGAGCAAAAGGGTGACTTTATTCCTCTTCTACATTTTTTAGTTAGTTTAGTTTATTTTCTTAGTTATATTTTTATTCTCATCTAGTTTCATTTTTTGTGTTTTATGAACAGTCATCGAGACAAGCGAGGGCGATTCATTGCGAGGCCTCAACTAGTGTTTGAATCATTTTCTAACCATTTCTTTGATACTGCATCTATTTCCATGAACACCACATCACATAACACAATGTTTGATAATGAAAACGGCTATGCATCTTATAGGACTTTGCATGATTATCTGCATCTCACATGCATATCCACACCATCATGCATATTTTTTCCACCGACATGCCACATATGGAACTTAAATTGGGAATGATTAAACTTCTTCCCACTTTTCATGGACTTGACAATGAAAACCCATACGTGCATATTAGGGAATTTGAGGAAGTGGTTGCTACCTTCCACAATCAATATGTTACAACGAATGCAGTATTCAAAAAAAATTCTGTTCTCTCTTAAAGAAAGAGCAAAAAGTTGGCTGTATTCAATAAGACCACGTTTGATTGGTACTTGAGCTGAAATGACTCAAGCATTCTTTAATAAATACTTTCCCTACTATAAGACTAGTGCCTAGGGATGTAAACGAGTCGGGCCGAGCTGGTTTGCGAGCCTAAAATTTCGGCTTGGGCTCGGCCCGGTTAAAATGGCCGAGCTTTTTTGTGGGCTCGCTCGGCCAAAAAAAAATAGGCTCGGGCTTTTTCCGGGCTGAGTCGGGCAAGCTCGTTTTCTCCCCTATTTTTTTTCTTCTACTGCCTTTTAAGGCTCAAATTTTATCTAATTTTTTTTAAAGCTCGCGAACTCACGGGCCGGCTCGGGCAAAGCCCGTGTCCCCAAAATGGGGCTCGACCCGAGCCTAAGTTCGGGTCTACCGATCTCCGAGTCGAGTCACGGGCGGCCCGAGCCAACGAGCCCGATTGCCATCCCTACTAGTGCCCTTAAGAAGCAAATTTCATCTTTCACTCATAGTGAGACTTTAAATGTACAAAGAATTGCAAGCCCTCTGTCCCCACCATGGTTATGAAAGTTGGTGCATTGTGAGTTATTTTTATGAGGGATTATTACCTAGAGAGCGTCAATTTGTTGAAATGATGAATTTTTGCAAAAAGATCAGGATGAGGCTATAGACTACTTAGATGACTTAGCTAAGAAAGCCCATACCTGAACTAGACCTAGTGCCACTAAGAGTACTAATAGGTCACGACCCACTGGAAACCCGCATAACACAGGTATTTATCATCTTAGGGAGGAAGATAACGTTAGAGCAAAGGTAGAAGCCCCTACTAGAGAACTTGAAAACCTGCGCGCTAAAGATTCAAAACCACTCGATCTATTTTCTGTGTTGAGTCTTTAGAGCCTTGTTTTGTGTGTGGAAGGAGTGATCACCCAGCGCAGGAGTGTGCCACTTATGCTGAGATTAGGGGACTTTATGAGGAATATTGTAATGCTTTAGGCATATATCCAAAGCCCTACACCTCTTACTCCGAGACTTATAATCAAGGGTGGCGAAATCATCACAACTTTAGCTGGAAGTCTGAGAACCAAAAACCTACCCAATCCAATAGAGCTTACAATGCACCCCCACATCAACCCACATCCTCTAGGAATTCTTTAAAAGATACTCTACATGCATTTATAGAGGTACAGGGTAAAACAAATCAAAAATTTGAAACTATGATTGGCCAATTAGTTGAGGAAAACAAAGAGATAAATAATCATGTATCCAAACTAACTAATGCCTTAGCTGTAGGAGAACGTAGGAAATTTTGTGCTCATGCTCAACCAAATCTAAAGGGGCAACACATTTCAAAAACTTCGAGATCGGGAGAGACCAACTTAAGGAAGTAAATGTCATAACCACTAGATTTGGGAAAATCATTGAACCAGCCATTCAATCTAGGGAGAATGAAAAAGAATTAAGTGAGCCTAATGAGAATAGCCCTAGCGAAGAAGTAGTAGAAGCTCCAGTTAGGGTACCTTTCCCTCAAGCCCTCACATCCACCTCGAAGTCAACCACTTAACACAATGAAATCCTAGAGCATCTTAATCAAGTAAAAATCAATTTGCCTCTCTTGCACGTGATCTCTCGAGTTTCTACATATGCTAAAGTCCTTAAAGATTTATACACTGTGAAAAGGAAACATCATGTCAAGAAAATCGCTTTCTTGATCGAACAAGTGAGTGATGTGATAGAGCAGAGGATCCCACCAAAGTATAAGAACCTTGGTTGTCCTACCATCTCTTGTGTCATTGAGAACCATGAGTTTGCACAAGCCCTTCTTGATTTAGGAGCTAGTGTTAACCTCATGCCTTATGCTATATACTTATTGTTAGGTCCTGGAGAGATGGAATCTATCTTAGTGGTCCTTCGGTTAGCTGACAAGTCCACCATAAGACCTATGGGAATAGTTGAGGATGTGCTAGTACAAATTGATAAATTTTACTACCCTATGGATTTTTTGGTCTTGGATGTGAATGTTAACTTCAAGATTCCCATTATTCTTGGTAGACCTTTTCTTGCTACAGCTAACGCTCTTATCAATTGCAGGACTGGTTTGATGGAGCTATCTTTTCGAAACACGATCTTAGATGTCAACATCTTTCACGTCATGAAACAGCCTAAGAAAGATGATGAGTGTTATCAAACATACATGATTGATGTACTCGTTGAGGAGGAAGCTCATGCGCTTATTGACCCCAACCCTTTAAATTCTGAAATTTTCGAAGGGTATGATAATGGGAAATATGCTGATATTTGTGCTGCTTTTGATTATTTTCAGGATTATG